CACGCCCTTACCCACCTCAACAAGATAGTCAGGTGCCGAAGGATGCTCGAATACAACCCACGAGCAACCCTCCAAGAGGCGGGATAAGGACACGTGCAATCTCTGAACACGTCGATGGTGGTGCTGGCATCCAAGGGCTAACCCCCTCCAGTGCCTCACCCCCTTAATCCACGCCAGGGCTTGCCCGGCGTAACTATTATTATTATTATTATAATTAGTCCACTGTTGACGTTTGGCAATGTGTTTAGTAATCCGTTGCATGACATGGAATCGATCTTCACCAATGAGCACAGTGCGACCAGTGGCGGTTAGTGCCGCAGCTGTGATGCAGGCCATGTTGTGTTTGCGGTCATCAGTCGAAACGTAAAGCACCGCTGTTCCAGCCGCGGCATCCCTAAAGATTTCTGTTAATACGCGCTGCCTGTGAATAGCATCCATACGTGGCAACCATGCTACCTGAACAATTTGCCGCGTCAGCGTACTAGCAATGGTGTGGAGAGCAGCATGTGGTGTCTGGAAAGCACGGCGGAGAGTGCTGTTGATGTGGTTTGTACAGCTGTACGACGGCTTGCCTTGAAATTTTCATCCATGCTAATGCTGGGAGACAGGTACGTCGGGCAGTGCGCATGTCTGCCTGAAATTGGTCGTGCCAAAAGCTGTGCCAGAAATCGTACAACACGGCTGTAATTGTGCTTTCACAAAGTCGGTTGTGACCTTCGGAAGATCGCCACCATTCTGTGGAGCTAAGCGCAGCACTTGCGTTTTGCTCAGCGAAATGAAACGCTGCTGCTGCTGCTTCGTTGCCGTCGTCCTCCGCATCAGCGTACGCTGCACGGCTGTGTTGATGGATGAAGAGTTGTCGACGATCACTATAGGTAGCGGCCCACGTCGCACTCAGTGATTGTGAGAGCTGCGCCGGTGTTATGCCACTATCAAAGGATGCTACCAAGTAATCGAGCAGTGTTTTGGTGATCCGTGTATCGCAATGACCTATAATTGGTTCAGTTTGCCACAAGTCACTATTGGACGCAAAAAACAGCTGCATATCTTCTAATGAAAACATATGAAAGCGATGATTGTGAGAAACACATCGGTATCTGTCGCAGGTCGCAGGGTAAACCCCGTCAATGTGTAAGAGGTGGAAATTTCTGGTGCCTGCACGTCTAACTATGCAGTCGTATGGACCGTGGCGACAGCTACTAGGTACTGTAGGCGCTCCTGTGGTCGACAACAGTTGTACGTGATAATGTGTCGGGTAATGTTCTGTCATAAACAGCTTGTCCATTGTGGCCGCGATTACACAAGAAGGATGCGGAGCAATTACAAAAGTGGTGGTATGTTTATGTAGTATTGTAAAGCATGCAATACATTGCAATACCCTCCGTGTACGACGGTACTATAATTGTTGGAACGCTGATGTCAATTCAGCGTGTACAACGAGGCGCACAACCTGAAGATGTCTTCTTGTGGCAACGCAAAGATTCAACGAGTGGTACCTGTACGGTGTAATGTTGTATTATCCTATGACCCATACACCGCATCTCTTATAAGGCACAATTGTTCAACAAACACACAATTTGCGGGAAGCCTGGAAGCCCAGTAACCTCAGCGCTACTGAATAGGGCTTCCTAGGTATGCGCTCTCAAACAATCATTACGTGACCGTCCACGAGGAGTCCCGCGATGTGGTGGGGCTGGTACGCGACGTACGCGGACACCATGAACTCCGGCGGATGGTCGATGAAGAGCTGATTGGCGACGAGGCCTGCGGTATTGTGGACATAACGACGTACAGGTTAGAATACCGTGCGTTACAAACTACAGTACAATAAATATGTACGTTATGGCACGATACCGGTATCATAGGGAAGAGTTGTGATCAGCGTCCATGGAAGGCTTACCGGGTGGCTCGGGAAGGTAAGGTACGGTGAAGCCGGACCGGTAAAACATGGAGTCGAAATAGTTTACGTTCGGACGAAGTGAACCAGTCGCCAGAGCCGCGATGACGTGAGTCCATATCCAGGAGCTCTCCTGTTCCAACATGGGCGGTATCCACGTCTGCACCACACAAATGAATTTTAGATAATAATTCGTTTAGAATCCATGCATGCCATGCCATGCCGTTGTTCACGTCCAGCGAAGTGTGGAAGGATGACGTAGCCGATTGATTGTAACGCCTACAATGCTGTGGTGGTTCTATCGGATCCGGTCCTTTCTTACCTGGCAGGGAACCGCGTGCGTAGTCTGACGTACAGGGAGGAGAAGGAAAATGGGTCCGATGACCAGGTAAGTCTCTCCACTGTTCGTAGCGTACAGAGGCAGCACCATAGAGAGAGAATACATGACGATGTGGGCATTCATCGTAAACAAGCATCGTGTACAAGCGCTTAGCACGACCGCGATGGACCAAGCCGGGGCGTTGGGGATAGTCTAGAACCCCCACAAACTGCTCACCGGCAGTGTTGTAGATTCGTTAGGTTCGTAAGAGTAGGTGGTAATCTACCAAAGGTAGTACCGACTGTCTCAGGCTGGCACTGCCCCAGCCACAACTCTGAAGAGTGTGCTCCAGAAGGTTAAGCAACGTAACTTAGCCACTGTTCTGTGAGCAGAGACGATTTAAGCCATAGGATCGTAACTTCTGGAGTTCCGTACAGATTCCTAGTAATCCTCATCATAATCCTTCCGTTAGATTATCCTCATTCTGTTATGATTATACAACCATCCATAATCTTAACTTCCTCTTTAGTAATTAACCCTACAAACATTATTCCTTAGTCGAGGTTCCTTAACATGTCTATCGACATGCCGCTACAACATCTGCCTCCCTCCCCTTAAGCGCCAGCGTCCTCGCGGCGTTCAGGGTGGTTAGCCCAATATTCGTCAATCACATGTCGGTCCACAAAATCCTTTTCATCAACCCATGTGTTATGGGCATGATCATAACCCTGCCATTTCACATAGAAACGGGTAAGGGTACGTTTCCTTAACTTCTTACTTTCATGATCCAAAATCTTCTCCACAGTCCATACAGGTCGATTCGTAACGGGTTCAAACTCTAACGGAGGTGGTGGTTTAACTGAACCTCCAGGGACATCAGTTCGATAAAGCCGTAGCAATGAAACATGAAACACATTATGGAACCGATATTCAGGAGGCAAGGTTAACTTAGCAGCCGCCGGATTGATCATTTCTTCAATAGGGAAGGGTCCAATAAACTTAGGCATCATTTTCCGGGTACCACGTTGAACAGCAAGATTCCGAGTACTCAGAAGCACTTGTTGCCCAACAGTGAAAACCACCTTACGTCTCTTACGATCCGTATCACTCTTTGCACGATCCTGTGCTGCCTGCATGCATTTCTTAGCAGCTTCAATACGATCATGAAACGTAGTAGAATAATCCTTAGCAGCAGGTACAGCATCTCCAATCTCACGGTGCAGAGGCGTCCGTGGATGGAAACCATAATTCAGATAGAAAGGAGACTGACCAGTAGATCGATTCTTAAGGTCGTTAATCGCAAATTCAGCAGCATCCAAATACTGGTCCCACTGCGTGGGATCGTATTCTGCATACTGCCGTAGCATATCCCCAAGAATCCGATTCATACGTTCCGTTTGTCCATCAGTCTCAGGATGAAAAGCCGTACTCAAATTCTGTTTCGTACCCATACGTTTCAATAACGCAGGTAAGAAAGCTCCAGTAAACCGAGGGTCTCGGTCCGAAATGATCGTTTTAGGCATGCCATGTAAACGTACAACACAATGGAACATAAGGTCAGCTGTACGTTCAGCAGTCACCGAATCTTTACACGGCGCCACATGAACCATCTTAGTCAAATGATCCACAAACACTATAAGGCTGTTGTTCTTACGTTTCGTTTTCGGTAATCCCATAATGAAATCCATAGAGACGCTGTCCCAAGGCATCTCAGGAATCGGTAAAGGCTGTAAAGTACCTAACGGAGCACCCGAAGCAGGCTTATTCCGTTGGCAAGAATCACAAGTAGCCACGAAATCAGTAACATCAGCTCGAAGCGTAGGCCACCAGAAGTGACGTTGCACTAGTTCAATCGTCCGGTCACGACCAGGATGACCAGCCATAAGCTCCGAGTGATTCTTAACAATAATGTCCTTCTTAATATCCGGATCATTAGGGATCACTATCTTCAGCTCATTTTCTCCCTCCTCCTTCCTCTGAAAGAATCCGTCAGGATTCGCTATGAGGTCCTTAAGGTTCTTAGGATCCTGAAACCATACATCACGCTGCGTTGCAGCCTTAATTCGAGTAAGCAAGTCAGGATCACTAGTCGTGCCCGTACAGCACGCCATAAAAGCAAGGAGAGGATGACGAGAAAGTGCATCAGCCACCACATTTAACTTACCAGGCCGATAAACCCACTCAAAGTTGAATTGCTCCAGAAATTCAACCCATCGAGCTTGTCGTCGGCTTAAATGAGCTTGGGTCTTAAGGTACGTTAACGGGTGGTGATCCGTAACGAGGGTAAATGGGATAGAGCTCTGTAAATAACAACGCCACTCACGTAGCGCGTTAACAACACCAAGTAGTTCCTGTTCTCCAGTACCATAATTCCGTTCAGCAGGTGAAAACTTCTTACTCGTGAAGGCCACCGGACGTCCATCTTGTAATAAGACAGCACCCGTACCATTCAACGAGGCATCAGAGATCACCTCAAAAGGTTTCGTAAAGTCCGGATAACGTAAGAGAACATCATCTTCAAGGTGTCGTTTCAGAGCCTCACCAGACCGAAGCGATCTCATGGCCTGCCCATGTGTTGTAGTATACTATAGTTGTGTATAGTAGTGTGTGTGGTCGGACTGCAGCGGTTCGGTCATGCTGTTAGGTACAGTTACAGATAGGGCTGCGTTGCTTGCGTAATGACGGCGCGCTGAACAGCGGCAGTCGTTACCCGCTTGCTACCATAACCAATACTGCGGTTGCCCAGCGACACGTTACCAGGTACCACTTGCAAGTCCACCCGGCGTGTGATCCACCCTCCCAGTACAGGTACAGGTTCGGGCCCTTCCCCCCTTTGTCCTAGCTGTCAGTTGCCCGGTACCCGCAGCACCACCCCCGCCTAGTTGCATGTGCCCAACACCCATTCCATCAGCCGCTCAGGCGGGCCCTAGGATGTTGTGTGCATGCATTTAGGTGCTGTCATCGTCAGTGTCCTCCTCGCCGCCCTCCGAGGCAGAGCCACTTCCATCTGCATCCCCATCCTCATCACTGCTTCCCTCACTAGTGTCCGTGTCCTCCACGGGATCTTCCGACGCCGCCATGCTGCTGCTGCTGGCCCTCTCGTCCTCCTCGTCATCTACATCGGACACATCCTCGTCCGTGTCCCCCCCAACGCCATCACTACCCTCGTCCCCGCTCGCCGTGTGCTGCTGCTCCTCACTGCTTGCCAGGTCCACGGCGCCACTGTGGTGGCCGCTGTCCGAGCAGTCCATGGAGCCGTCGCTGGCGGCGGCCTCCTCCGAGGCGGCAGCGTGCTGGCTGCCATGGGCGTCACCCGCATCTTCATCCGCGACCTTTTGGAACTCACGGATGTAGATGTACGAGTGGTTGTTGTAACTGGCCGTGGGTGGGGTGGGTGGGGTGGCGGGGAGGGCGGTTGTTGGAATGCTGCGCCGTTTAGGTGTGTGAATTAGGCAAGGACTTAAGGTGCACACTCTGGGCATTGCGTGTTTTTAGCAGGGGCACAGCAGGGGTTGTCAGCAGGCTTTGAGAGCTGCCACCTTTTCCCGCATGGACTCACGTGCGCAGGGTGGCGTCCCGGATGATGAGAGTGCCATCCGAGAGGCTCAGGAGGGGCGTCAGGACCAGCTTGGCGTACTTGCGGTCGCTGCTGATCTTGATCGCGCTGGCCTTGCCAGCCGGGAATCCCAGGAACCGATGGATGGCCATGTCGTGGAAGTGGAGCTCCACACTGTACGAGGTGCCATCCACGCTGCAGTCGGGCGCCAAGCCCGTGAGGATGTACTTGCTAAAGGTGCTGGGACCACCCTTGAGCTTGCCGTGGACCGAGCACCTGGCGTGTTGGGTTTTGGGAAGCGCAGAGTAACGGGTGGTTCAAGGCAGCAGTAATGGTAGCGGGGCTGGTACACGCATTGTTGAAACAAACTAGCAGAAGTCTGGAGTCACGCTGGTAAGCATATTCCCGTGCCACACTCACGTGAAGGTCGAGTCCTCGGAAACCTGGAGCCGCTTGCCGCAGGGCTGGTTGTTTGGGGAGGTTGGTTCCGTGCAGTCGTAGCTGAAGGGGTTGTTCACGTTGTGCAGGACCTTGATCTGCAGCCGCACATGGCTCACGTACACGTTGTGGAGTGGGTGCCGGGCCGCAGCACTGATGGCCTCCGTCAGCTTCTTGGACCTGCAGGCGTTGGACACCTCACCAGCGTTCTGCAGGGTTGGGCAGGAGAGATGGGTGCGTAAGAGCGGTGGAATGGTGGCCGGAACGTTAGTTGGCTACCTGTGTACCCAAGTGGCCGGTCCCAGATGGATATTTAGCAAGGTGTTGCCATACCTGGAATGCGAAATTGGTGCTGCTGATATCCGTGAAGCGGGCCATGGGCTCCGTAGCCGTCTGGATGCTTGTGATGGCGCGGGTGGTGAGGCTGTAGTTGACAGCGCTCCCAGTCCTGAAGACTCGGGTGGCGGCGTTGAGCACGAGAAGCACTTGGCCCACCTTCCACTCCGTCTTGGCCAGGTCCCTGCGTGGTGGAGACGCGAGGCGGCATCACGAGCAAGCAAGTCATGGGCAATAATAATGCCGCGTGTAATCTTGCGCGGCCTTCAAAGCAGAGTTTTTTTTTCTATTACGCAGCCCAAGCAGGTAGTAGGTTGTGTTTTCTGAAAATAGCAGGTTTCTGATTTGGGATCTGCGCGCTTGCGCCTGTGGCCCGCATCCGCAGTACCCTTGCCCTCTTGCATGCCTCCGATTGTCACCCCTGCTGCATGTTGTAAGACCCGTGGGTCACCAACCCTTTGCTAGTAAGGGAGAACGGCCTCGCTGGCCGGAGGAGGCACTCACGCATGGATTTATTAAAGACACTCCTTGGTTGCACACCGTGGAAATGTTTTTGTATACAGCCGCTTTCCCCTGGGTAATAATCTAGGTAACAGACATGATGCCCAGGAAGCACTTTTCCCGATCTTTCCCTAGCTCACCCCCAAAGCGAGATGGCGATGCTGTGGGTGTCCGTGTAGGTGGGCGAGTCGTTGTTAGGGGCCACCAGCGTCAGCTCACGGGAAGCCACGGTGCGGCCCTGGATGTCCTTCATGGTGAGCGGCGTGGTGCCCTGAACAGCCGCTGCCAGGCAGCATGCATGCATGGGGCAGGTTGGCAAGGGGGTAGTTTTAGGGTGGTTGTAGAATCCTTTGGATGCTGGCTGCATGGTTGGAGGTCTTCTTAACCGGTTTCCCTGCTTACCAAGGATGTTGACCAGGTGGTCGTGCGGCACGGTGCCATCCAAGCACAGCGCCATGTCGGTGAGGGGCACCGGCATGATTGGCTCCAGAGCCGTGACCTGCTGTGCAGCGTCCTTGATGTGTAGGGTCACAGGGCTGCGCGACTTGCTGAACCTGAAGTTGTCCTCACGCCTGCGGCCAGTTAAAGAGGTACAGGTCGGGCATATGGTCGGCGGGGCTGGTGACGCCCACTACTGGGTCAGGCGTGGTGCTTGCAGTTGCTGGGTTGCCCTTTCTTGTCCTAACTGCTTCCCGGAGCCCTATCTATCCGCGACCGTTGTGTTTGCCATGCCCAGACGTACTTTACGACGGGCTTCCGGATGAGGATCTTGCCGTGGTCCATAATATCAGTGAGGTGGCGTGAGTTGCTGGCCCCAAACGTGATGACATCGAGTGAGAGGTGAGGCAGCTCCGGGTCGCTGACAAGCATGCGGACCATTTGCTTGTCAGAGCTTGGTTTGTAGGCCGTGACACTGCGGACGTATGCAAGGAACGATGTCGGCAGCTCGCGGCCGTTGCTGCTGAGCTTTACAGGGTTGACATCGTGCACGGCATCCCGCAGGGGCTTGGCACCGGCGGCATCCTGGCGGATGGGTGGCGAGGAACATGGCAGTACAGGCAGGTGTGTAGGGGTCGGGTTGGGAGGGACGGAGTAAACCTACGAAAGTTACAGGTTACATTTCACTTAAGGACTTCATTAAACATGTTGTACAGTAACATGTTGTACGTGCACACAATGCACGTTTGGGGGTTGTACGTCAGAGGCGTAACTACAGTTCGTGACTTGACCACCCGCAAACCCGGATTCACACACTGTTTAAGTAATGTGTGATTACGCTCACGTATTCTCAGTTCCGAATTTGGATTTTCATGTTAATTCACAACCCTTCCCTAATAGGGGTGTTGAGGAACAACGGCGAAAAGGGTCGTGACATGGCTGCTGGCCTCACCCTGGGCGAGCGAGTCCTGTCCTGGCTGGGGGGTTCCTGTTCGGGGTCCTTGCTGGGCTGCGCCTGCAGGTTGCCCGGGGGGAGGGGGTTGCTCATGACAATCAAGCAGCAAGGAACACGGCGGGCAGCATAATTGGGCAGGCTGCTGCGATGGCTCAGAGGTCAAGGCACCTGCACTAAACAGCGTCTCCCCAAACTAATGCCCGCGCTGTACCTTGGCACTGCAGCGTTTCGCCACTGGCGGCTGCAGGGTGGGCGTGGCGGGCGGGGTCTTGCGCTTGAGGGCAGTAGCGGCGGTCGTCGGCTTGGCACCAGCGGGGGGTGTAGTGGTAGCAGGGGTGCGAGCGCTCTGGGAAAGGGCATGGTGGGTGGGGCAAGGCGGTTAGACCCGGGGAGCGGTCGGTGCGGGAATATTACTTCTGGGGTGCATGTATGTTTTGCGCGCTCACCTTGCGAGCAGGCGGCATGCTGGTGGGCTTGGTGGCCTATGAGCACGGGAAGTGAAAGACGGTGAGGCGGGGCTAGAGTGTATTCAAGTGCAGCAGGCCAAGTACCTGTGGGGTCGCAGCACGCGCGGTGTCCGGTCGCACATGCTCCGGGCATTTCTGCAATGTAAAGGTCACTTTGTTGGCTGGTGAATGACTGTGGTCGGACGTGGGGGGTGCGCATGCAGAGGGATGTAGCGCGCCCAGGTGCGTACCTGGAGGGCAAAGTCGCGCACGTGGGCATCGTAGTACTCCTCGGTGAAGCGGTTGATGTTGACCCAGGTGATCTTGCCCGTGGTGCGGAGCTTGATCTGGACCTCCTTGCTGTTCTTGGGCTCGTTGTAGCGAGCGTCGACCAGGCAAGCAACCATGTCCTCGCTCTGCATTTTTGGGCAGTTTTTTGGTAAGCTTACTAGCGTTAGAGCACACGCCCCGTCATGAAACGCACGGCCTCGCTTACAATATCGTTGCACGTGCGGCCACGCCGAGGGCTGGGCTGCTGGGCCCTTGGGCCACTGATGGTCGGTGCTGCAGCTTCTGCTTGCTTGTTACGCGGCTTGCCACTGGCCTGCGGTGTTAATGCGTATAGGTTGGGTGTCGGAGGAACGGAGGTGCGGAGGCTTGCTCAAGCGGCGGCTATCTCATGCTGCCTGCCTTGTATTACCTTTGCGTTTGTCTTCATGGCACTGGCTGATGGTGACCCGTGCTTGCTGCGGGTCTTGCCCGACAGTGTCGGAGGTGTTGATGGCGGCGCATGGTTGCTGCTTGGCGGCGCGGCGTCGCCCTGTGAGGCGTAGCAGGTGTTGGCTTCACGGCTATGCTGGCCAGCGGGGTGCGGGGATTCACTTACCTTGGTGCGACGGCCGGTGTTCATCTCCTTGTAGTTGGGCTGCGCCTTGTTCCGGGACGGGCGCTCCTTCGCGAATGAAAGACAAATTAGGAAATTATTTGTTATTTTCGGGACCCAGCCTATGTTGGGGGCGTGTGGGCTGTGTTGTGGCTTGCCTTGCCACGCGATGTCGCCATGTCTTGCACACTTAGGAAGGTTCAGGAGGCCTTGAGGCGGGCTGGCTGTGATTAACGGGTAGACTTGTTAATTGTTTACAGCTGAATACATTGCGCATGACTGCTTGTGGGATGCGTTATGTGTACTGCAAATTGTGCGTGGTTCCGGAGGTGGGAGTCTATTGGTCCAGTCGTTGGGCACTTGTGCATAGTGTTTTTAAAGAACCGCACAATGAGCCTTGATGCATTGGTGTCCACCTCAATCGTGCATAGTTTTAGCAGTGCAGGCGCTAGGGACGACTTTCTCAGACGTGTGTGCGATGTGTGGTCCTTTAGTCCACCCGGCTCTGAGGTTGCTGGCGCTGTCATCCGACGTTGCCTAGTGCAGGGATGCTGTGGCGAGCTTAGGGCGTTTGTGAGCGCAGATGGAGTTGAGGGTCGAGTTTGCTGGCGCGCTGAGCACACGGCGCACAGTGCAGAGGCCTGTGTAGAGCGCAATCGCAATCGCAAAAGGTGGGTGAGCGGGCGACGGCTCGTAGTAGACTCGTGCTTGACTTGTGGTAGCCGTTGGTCTCCAAACCTCCTACACCTGGCCTTTCGTTCTGCAGGGCCGGCTTGGCGGCGGGCAGGACGCTGTTGGCACTTGCCGCTGCTGACGAATGCGATGGGCGACGTGTCTGTGGGCTGCGCAGGTAGGCTCGCTCGGCATGTGCATTTCCTGGAGGAGTTGCGTCATTGTAGGACATCGCTGCTTTTCCACCCGTCAAGGAATTAGTGTTCCTATTGCTTGGTGTGATTATTGCAGGCTGGAGGTGGCGGCCGACCTTGTGGTGTGTGGTATCGAGGTGGAGGATGGCGTTGTCGTAAAGATGCTCACATCCATTGGCGCCAACCCACCTCTCCGTGACTGGCAGCGGCAGCTGAATCGGATCGCTGCCTTAAAGTTGATGAATCGGCATGGCGCCTGTCCCAGTGAAACAGCTTTGGCGTTTGCGGTTGACGAGGATGTTCTGCTGGAGCGGCAGGCCGCCTTATTGCAAGCCACGGCTGCCAACAGCAACAGCAGGCGGAAGCCGCAGCATGTGGAG